ACTTGCCAGGCAAGCACTTATTCTACTAAGCCATTTCCCCATCCCTCAGAAGTTTTTTTTAAATTTTTTTTTAACCTGCTTTCATATATACATACATATATATAACTTTCTTTCATATGCCACTATATACTAAGCTTTATTCTACTACAAATAGCTTAAAAGGTTTCTCTTTTATGGAAAACAACAGCCAATCTTATACCAGACTGACATCAAACATCATGTCAGATGAGGCCCTTATTGAAGATACTCAGAAAAAATTGGCAAATTATCAGCAATGTAAGGATTATGTCACAATTATATTCCTCCCCTGATCCTAACCCCTTCTACTTACTCCTGTCCATCTTAACTAATGGTGGTACACTGAAGAAAAACTAGCTTCTGAAGATTCAGACTTGAGTTCAAATCTTGACTCTGCCAGTTATAAATTACATGATCTTACACAAGTATCTGAGTCCCCAAGTTCCCATTGCCTCATTTATAAAATGGGGGGTACTACTACCTGCTACACTGTTACTATGAAGAACAGTTTGCTGTGTTTAAAGTGCCTAGTACAATGCAAGAAATGCAAAACTGAGGTAATAGCAGCAGTCATCAAAAAATCTTCCAATCAGAGGTTTCCTAGCTGTTCTAATTAATCTCTAGTTTACTGTGACTGACTAGCTAGCAGTTACTTTAAAACTAAAAGTTGGTCAGATCAGAGAAGCACTATATCTTGTCTATGAGTGTACTCTGAGTGAAAAGTGGAAGAATGCCCATGTTCAGTTATGATTAAACATAAAATGCTCCTTAATAAGGTTGCTCCAGGAATCCTGCCACTTGCCTTATTTTCTCCCTGTCTCTGAATCACTTCCATCATTATACATATGCCATTAACTCTTCTACTAAAGACAAAAAAAGAACTCTAGACCCCCTCTCCTTCTCTGGATGGCACCCACTTTAAGGAAAACTTAAGGTCTTCCTGTATCCACAGTCGCCAATCTCTCTTCTGTTCTCTTCTGTGTCCATTCCACCCAGACTTTCTACCACTGTCCCACCCATGACCCTCAGAGGCCTGCACTCGGGGTGTACAGTGCTCATAGGGTGTGTCTTCTCACCAGCATTCAAGCAATCCTTTTGCCTTCAAATGTTTTCTACTTCTATCATTCCAAGCACCATTATGATTTCCTTGCCTGTTGTTAAGGAAATCATTGTTACTTTTTCCTCACTCTCTGATCTTTAAACCTTAGGCGTACTCTAGGGCTCCCTCCTCAGACCTCTTCTTCTTTCTCTCTATCCTCATTGCTTTGGTGAGTTTATGTGATCTCCTGGCTTGAAACAACATCCACACACTGATGAAATTTATGTTCCTACCCTGAACCTCCCCCTGAATCTCAGGCTTTTGTATTTAACTGCTTACTTGGCTCTCCATGAGGCTATCTAACAAACATCTCAAGCTCTGCAGTCCCAGATGGAGGCCCTGATATTACCCTCAGCACTTCCTCACACACTGGTCCACATTCATTCGCTAGTTGCTCAAGCCAAGGTCTGGAGACATCCTTGACTTCACGGCCCTCCCACTCCACATCCAACGTCTAACAATCCCCACTGACCTCACCTTAGAAATATACCTAGAACCTTTTTTCATCATCTTCACCACTGCTATCTATCTCAAATTACTACCCATTCTCACTTGACCCGAAGAGCCTGGTCCACAGAACTTCCTACCAGTTATTTTAAAAGAAGAAAAAGAAACTGATAATTCTTGAAGTATAGGTTTTTAGTTTGGACTATAAATTTTATGTACCTACATATACATAGTAGACATAAACACACATGTACATTTAAGTTCCCGGGATGTTTTCTAAAACCATGTAAATAACATATTTAAAAATAGTTAAAATAGTTAAAATTTTACAAGGGTATTTATATATATGGTTATCAAACACCACAGGAAGTTGCTCCAAATTAATAATTTCATTAAACAAGTAGCTAACACCAATTTACACAGAATCAACATTAGCTAAGAACTAGTCATTATATTTGAAAAACTTATATTACTCATTATTATCATTATTATTTATGTATTTGGCACAGGGTCTCACTATGCAGCTCAGACTCATTGTGATCCTCCTCCTCACTGCTGGGATTACAGGCCTGCACCACTATGCCTGGTCTCAGCATGCCCAGGCGTGTGGCTGGCATGGCCTATGGTGCAGAGGATCGAACCCCGGCCACTGTGCTTGCCTAAGCAGGCGCTTAGTCTGCTGAACTATCTCACTGGTCCTCCTTATTATTTAATAGTAATGAGAAGTTGCCTAGATACTGGTAAGAATTTAGTCACATATTCTGCCATTACCTTTTAAGACAAGATCAAAATATATGAAAATTTGAAAACCAGAAAAATTTATGCAACAGAAAGTAGTAAGATGGGGCTGGAGAGATGGCTCAGTGGTCTAAAGCACCTACTTGGAACAAGCTTGGCAAAGCACAGGGACCGCGGTTCGATCCCCCAGCACCACATGCCAGCCAGCCCCGCCCCCTGGTGGGCTGAGCTGGCCCCCCCCCAACACAGTAAATAAATGTTAAAAAAAAAAAAAAAAGAAAGTAGTAAGAAACAGCCAGATGCTAGTTACAAGACTACTGTTACTTACTGTGTGAACTCCTAAAGCTTTCCAGACTGCAAAGCTGCTCACGCCAACCCCACACCAGGCATAAAGTGAGCCCCAGCCCAGGGCTCGCAAGGCAAGAGAAGACCCACTCTCTGGTAAGGCAGCTGTGGCCACACTCCCCTGCAATGAAGAAGAAAGACTTGACTAAAACCAATCTGTTCTGAAAGGATAAACAAACTGGGTGCACGCTCTGCATAAGTAACATGAAACATCCCAGAGGAGCCCAAGATCAAACAGTAGCTTTGCACTTAATAATGTCATGATTTTTCTGACCTACACATAAGGTTATGTAAGACACTGTGCCTATCAATTCTTTCAGAAAAACCTTAGAACATTTGCACTAGAAGAACATTAATTAGCTAATCTATTAAGAAATAGCAAATCTTTAACATCCTGTCTTCCATCTGTAAAGAAATTGTCATTTACTAAAGTCCTATTTTATAGACATTTTCTTTATAATGCTCAATTCATTTTCATAGTAAAAGCTTTCCTTCTATTTTTTTTTTTTTTTTTTTTTTTTTTGGGGGGGGGGGGTTTTTTTTTTTTTTTTAAAGGAGGTTTTTTTTTTTTTTTTTTTTTTTTTTCCTCCAAATGCCTTCAGGACAGGTTT